GGAGCAGAGTGCCCCGCCATAGTCTGAGGTGTCAAGAAAGACAACAAGCACCAAGGTTTGTACGATGTAGGTTCAGGAAGGGTTTTCAACATGGACATCATATAATTTAGAATGCCGAAAATTAAAACCCATGTCCAAAACCTTTCCTTAACCTGCATTGTACAAACCTGATGCTTCTTGCTCTATTTTTGTTTCAGTTAACCTAATAAAAGGTTTCATTTGGTACAATTTTTTTTAAGTCACAAACAAGAAATAAAGGGAATTTCCACAGTCCAATAAAGGCTCTGCTAAAAATCCCACAGTGAACACCACACTTGAGTGGTGATATAAACAGATATGAATCTGTTATGTGCTTCTTTTTTTTTCTTCTTTTTTAAGTTTTTTGCTATAGTGTGTGTATGCTTGCCAGAGAGAGAAAGATAGAGGCAGAGGGAGGGAAAGTGAGAAATCACTCCCCCAGGAAGGATGGCCATGCCACAGTTCCTTCTCCTCCATCCTCCTCTCAGGATTTTGACCATGTATGTACATACACCCAGTGTAATTTTCAAGTCACCAGGACCAAGACTTGAACAGTGGGAATCCAGCTCCTGAATCACCACCCTGCCTGCTAGCCTTATGATTCTCATTTTAAAATTAAGATCCCCACTATTACTATTACATTCAGTTGTACTGGGATCCTAGTCAGTACCATTTAAAGTCTTTATTTAACTAATTATAGTTAGTGTTTACTTGACATTCTTAATTTTTTGAGAGGCTTTTGCTATAGGGCGTGTGTGCTCATCAGAAAGAGAGAGATAGAAAGACAGAAAATGAGAAATCACCCCCCAGGGGGGATGACCATGCCGCAGTCCCTTCTCCTCCATTCTCCTCTTGGGATCTTGAGCACGCAATGCACAAGTGCCTGGTGTGAGTTTAAGCCACTTAGTCCAGAACTGGAACCGCAGTTGACTACATGGGAATCCAGCGACATAGCCATTACACCAACTGCTGGTTCTTTAACATACTTAATTTAATATTTAAATTTAACTAGCACTTAAATTTAAATAAGCATACTTAAGTATACTGTCTTGGTCCATTATTGTGTTGCTAAACAGAAATGCCTGAGAGTGAGTGATTTATGAAGAACTGAGATTTGTTTGGCTCACAATTCTTGTGTCTGAGAAGTTGGAAGGTGTGGAGCCAACATTAGGCTGGTCTCTAGTACTGCATCACGACATGGCTGGCAGAAGCAGGAAGAAGGGCACATACAAAAAGAGCAGAAACAGAATTCACATGTCCTCTGTTTGGCCCTTCTGAGTCCAATTGAATGCTGCCTTCTTATTAGATCCCACCTCTTAAATGCCTCACCATTGCCCAAGTTCATTACACTGGGGACCAAACTTGCACAACATGAATGGGGGACAAACGATTACCCAAACAATAGCATACACTTTTAATTAAACATACTTAACAGTAAAAGAGTTGAAAAGAAATAAATTTGTTACTATTCACAAACTAAATTGAACTAATAGATCACCAAAGTAGCCGGATTTGAGATGGATAGCAGAGGTTGAACAACCTACAGTGGGCATTATAAACAGAAGCTCTAAGTAAGCGAATGAGGCAACCCTTCAGAACAAGTAAGAGAAGCATAGAAAAGAGCAGAACACAGAGTGGAGGCCACAGACCCTTGCTGTACCTCCTACTACACTAGATCGAGGTCTAATCCCTGAGAGCCTCAGAACGGCCAGGCTCCTAGATTTTGACTCCTGTAGCTCCTGCTTCCTCACTACTCACCATGACCACCTGTCTAAACTGACCTGATAAATATCCGCAAGAGGTACACCAAAGACTCCAATGAAAACGCATACATACATGAAAGATGAACACATCCTCACAACGGTAGTAAGTTATCATAATAAGCTCAAACTTCTGCTAAAAACAATCATTTTACTTTATTTTTGTATATTCTCACCACTAGAGAGAAGCAGTTTTGTAATCCACAACTACAAATACAGTAATCTCTAAAATGCAAGTATTTCATTTGGTATGCATTTTAGATCTTTGTAACAGGAATATCTTCACAGTGAGATTTTGCTTAGACTACCATTAAAATAAGATTTAATGGGACCAGCAGATGACATAATGGTTACATCACTGGGCTCCCACGTAATCGACCACAGTTCAAGTCCCAGACCCTGCAGCTTAAACTCATGCCAGGTGAGCATGCATGTATGTGTGCCCAAAATCCTGAGAGGAGAATGGAGGAGAAGGGATTGTGGCATGGCCATCTCCCCTGGGTGGGGAGGGGGTGATTTCTTGCTTTCTGTCTCTCTGTCTCTGTCTCTCCAGAGAAGGCACACGCCCTATAGCAAAATTATCTCTCTCTCTCTCAAAAAAAAAAAGATTTAATATTCTGAACACAGAATACCTGATGAATGAGTAAGAAGAATTACCCAATAGAGTACAGGGATGTCAACTTTTAGACCATGAGTATCATCATGTCAGGTAATGTATGCTGAAATGGTTGAACTTCAACAACCTCAGGAAAGAAGCCAGACTAAATGACACCATTGTTGACATTTGAAGCCACAGAATTAATGTGAACTTTATTAAGTAGAATAATAAACAGTGGCACATGTAAAAAGTTTAATGTTTCAATATCAGCATAGCACTGCTGAAAGCAGCTCAGTACCATTGTGTTCTTTCATATTCTGGAGGGGAAGGATTTTTTTTAACTGTTTTTTTGTTGTTTAATTGCCTGCATGTGTTGCCCCAGAAAGAGAGAGATAACCCCCAAAGGGGCATGGCAATACCAAAAGCCCTTCTCCCCCATTTCTCTAACCCATTGGGATTTGAGGCACACACACATGCATGCCCAACATGTTTTCCAAGTTGCTGGGACTGGGATTTAAACTGGTCAGCCATGTGGAATCCAGCTCCCTTAACCACCAGGCCATGGGGCCAGCCCTGAGTCAGAGGATTTAGATTATGATAATCCTATCATACATTTCCTTAAACTTGGGCTCTGTTACAGAAACATACTTGGGTAAACATTCAGAACATGCCATTTAATATGGTAACCACTAGTCACGTTTAGCTACTGCGCACTGGAACAAGGGATTAATATGCTATTAAGGGTAAAATCACAGTGGACTTCAAGGACTTCATACACTAAAAAGAATATAAAATTTCATTAATGATTTCTTACATTAATTAAATGTTGAAACGATAATATTTTGATATTCAACATTCAATAAAATATACTATGAAAATTCATTTCACCTGGATTTTGCCTTTTTTTTTTTTTTTAGGTTTAGCCATAGGGCATGTGCATTTGCCAGAGAGAGGATAGACAGACAGAGGCAGAGAGAGAGAAAGTGAGAAGTTACCCGTGAAGGGATGGTCAAACGGCGCAGTTCCTTCTCCTCTTTTCTTCTCTCAGAATTTAGGACATGTACATACATGAGCCCAGTGTGATTTTCAAGTCACCATGTCTAGGACTCAAACTGCAGTTGGCCATGTGAGAATTCAGCGCCTTAACTACCACATCATCTTCTGGTCCCTCCCCTGGGTTTTTTTTTACTTTTTAAAATTTGTCTATTGGAAAATTCTATATTATATAACATGATTCACATTTGTGTTGTGCATTATTTACCTATTGGACAGCACTAAAAGTATTTTAAATGATGTATATATAAAGTATTAAGTTGTCAGGAAAGTTATGACATATTTTTCTATGCAAAAAAATGTATTTTCTATGCAAAAAACATAAATATATGTATAAATTATACATTACACATACTTTAAAACATCAATAAATTTGCTTATAAGACCCTTTATCATCTGTTGGCAAATTCCTATAAAGAAAAAAATAGTACAAAAAAGATACCATTTATTGAGTTCCAATTCTTTGACAGAGATAGCACTAAGTACTTTAAATAAATTATCTGTAATCCTTCCAATAAGGAGAATTTGGATCACAGAACCTGAGTAATTAATCCAAGATTGCACAGCTCAGAAGTGCTAGACCCAGGTTCTGAGTGTGGGTCTGTCTGAGGCCAATGCCAGTACTCTGTGGTACTTCAAGAAAAGAAATTGGGGAAGGTTCTATTTGGAGGTGACTATTTCTTGTGAAGTTGGTCATTATCCAACTTGGGTGGGCGCTGTCCAAGCCATACACCTATCATTAAGGAGGTGTTCCTCTTCTGTTTTGGACAACGTAGGGTGAACAGTTTTGAAAACCAACTCATCTATCCAACCAGCCCAAGGCGCCCACTGCTCAGCCTGCTCTGAGAAAAGATTTGCAGGTGTGCCGCTGCGGCCACACAGCCAATTTTGCCAGAGACAGCCAAAACCATGGCACCAAGTGAGATGTGGTCAGCTGCCCTCGGTGTCCCCCCTCAGATGAGTTCCTCTGTTTGATCCTTAGTCTGGTCTAAGCTTCTGACTAGTCCATTCTTAGCAAATGCAATAGCAACAACAGAACTAGTGGAGTAGGAGCTCTGGAATACTCGAGTAGTAAGCTGCTTTGGCAGAGGGGGCAACAACGCTGCCCACAGGAGAGAGAAACGGACCAGCCATAAAGCTAGGACAGATTGCCAAAAAACAGAGCCTTCTACAACCCAAAATATCTTCTGCCTCCAAGCTTTGGAAAAATTAGGCATGCAAAACTTTGGCACTTCTTCATTCATCTTCTCCCTCAACACCCTCCGAGCCAAATACGTGATGGAAGTCTACAGACATCCTACTAAACATAACCTCAAGCACTCACAAAAAAGCAACTTTCCTTCCTGGAGCAGTTGAAAAAGTGTGAAGGGTCCAGATGATTAAGATATGGTGGGGAAGGGAGGGAGAAAAATTGGCCAGAAAAAAAAAAAAATACAGAAGGCAACAGTGACATTCAGACCTAAACCTAGGAATGTTTGAATGGTTCAGAACGGGACACTTTGTCACCTCTGATTTAATTAGAAGACTGTTTTCAGGATTCTGAAGGTCTAGGCTCATCATCAAGCACTTACGTAATCCTCCTCATTGAGCCCTTGTTTCTCAACAGAACTTTTCACCTCCATGGAAAACTTCTCAAACTCAGGTTTCACTGTCCTCAGTAGAGTGACTGTTTGGAGGGATGAGTATGCTTGCTTAGCTTCAAAGTCGTGTTTGTCTCCTCTCTTCCACGAGCCATCTCCTATGAGAGAAAGAAAAATATTTATAATTCCAAGCCAGTCACCATCAAGAGTCCCTTCTCCTTTCCAACTCCAATGTGTCCATACATGTGTCTTTTGACAGCCAGGGCAATAGGCATTGTCACAGTTTTGCATTTGGACTGTGACCATGTCAAGATCATTAAAGGAGGTCCTTTGAACATGTATTACCTTGAAATATGAGAAGAAAAAGCTCTGTTGTAATTGCCTTATAATAACCACGCAACTGTAATTTTCAGCACCCCCCACACACACATCCACCCAGACTGGCAACACTGCAGGCATAAGAAGTCATTTTTTTTTCTTTCCATCCACATTTATTTTTTAATATGCACAATCAACTCTAGAGGTGAATCAAGTTGTTAGTTTGGCATAAAAATATGATGCCATGTAGACACAAAATGGCAGGTTATAGCTATGCATGGCAATGCATATGCTCATGTATTATAAGGTTGGCACTGATTTTAAAAAAACGTTTGAGATTATTGATATTTCTTGAATATCTTCAGGGTGAAAAGTAACTTAGGTCATCTTGTGCTGGCAACATCATAAAAATGATTTATTGGACAATGTCAATCAGTGCATCCCAATAAAAATAAAATAAAAATTGATGACATTTATGAGCACACATACAGTAATAATAAAAGCTGTATTTATTGGATACTGTATATGTATAAACTCATTTAATTCTCATGAGACCCTATCATGTGGGCTCTATTAGCCTTTATTTTACAGATGAGGAAACCAAAGAACTAGGAGGCTGGGTATCCACTGCTTCACAACTCTTTTTTTTTTTTTTTTTAAGAGAAAGAGGTTTTCGCTCTCACCAGAGAGACAAAAGGCAAGAAATCCCCCCCCCGCCCCCAGGCAGGATGGTCATGCTGCAATCCCTTCTCCTCCATTTTCCTCTTGAGATTTTGGGCAAGCATGTATAAGTCGCTGGGTCCAGGACTCAAACTGCCATGTGGGAGTTCAGCACCTTAACCACTACACCACCTCCTGGTCTCCACAGCTCTCCTTTGAAAAATGAGGGCCAATTATATGTGTGAGAATTCTTATTCTTCTCTTTATTATTTCATTTTTGAGAAAACCTGTAGCTTTCAGGTCCCCCAAAGGTGAAACTTCTGACATGAGCTGTTTTGTTCTATGAAATAATTCTGATTCCTGGAGATCTCTGAAAATACAGGAAGAAATTCAACTTGCTGGAGTCCAGCACTAAAGCCAACTGCTCCCACCAAACTTCTAGTCCACAACAGATACCTCGACCCCACAGCTAAGCAGTGAGGATGGTTCTGGAGCAGGTGGCTAGGGCTCAGTGGACTACTCTCCTCTTCCAGAAGCTCAGTCAAGACCTGATGGCTTTGTCATTTCTATCACACCTTGAAGCAGACAAATACGAATGGTTCTGTACTGCATGCAAGGTTCTGAGATAGCCATGGTGACACCATACATGTCTTGAACCATCTCCACCACCTTCAAGAGAAGGATTTAGAGTTGGACACGTTAACAACTGACATGATTATGAGGTAGGAACTGACAGCTTACCACAGGAGATGTGTGTACGAAGAAACAGTGCAGAGTACAGAGGACACAGTAATGAGCCAACCAAGAGAAGGTTTCATTTGAGGAAGAGACACTAGCCTGGACCTAAATGGATTTTAATGAGAGGAGAGGAGAGTGGAAAGGCAGAGCACTTGGCAGAGCCTACAGCACGGGCAAAGGTGCAAATGGCATGACACTAGGTAGGCAGTGGGAGCCTCAGTCGGGAGCCTGAGAAAAGGCAGAGAGAGGTATGTGTTTGTGGAGGAGCTGTATAATCCTAATCCTAATAATAGCAAACATTTATTAATTGCTTACTCTGTGCCAGGGAGTTTAAAGATAAATAAGACAGAGCTGAGGACAGAATTCATTAAGTACTAGATCCCTACTCAATGCACACAAGATTAGATTTCAGGCCACCAAACAAAACTAGACCAAGTCCTTCTCCTCTCCTGTGAAACCTCCCAGATGCTGAGAAGGCCACAGTGTGAGAGAAGCTGCACCTGGGCTTAAAGAGCCAGAGAGTTGAGTGTTACTACCATCAGGCAAGGTAAACCCAACTGGGGCTCAATGACCATGACACAAAGAACGAGTCCTTTGTTAAGTGGGTAAATCCATTGCCAGGAAGACCTCAAATTCTAAGAATGGCCAGGACACCCTTATCCCATGGAAAAACCCACTTCTTACAGCCGTGCAATAAATAATTGCTGATTCAGTTTTAACCGCCTTAACGTATCAAGGTTCACCAGAGGATCATAATTTCTCAGCTCTGGGAAAGTGTTCTTTCCAGGGGCATAAAAAGGGAAATACTTGGGCCAGCTGGTGGTGGTTAAGGCGTCGGACTCCCACATGACCAGCCATGGTTGAAGTCTGAGACCTGGCAGTTTGCTTTTTCACATTCTCTCTCTCTTTCTGTCTCTCTCTGGTCAAATTTTTAAAAACAATAATAATAATAGTAAATAAAATTAAATAAATAATTGTTTAAAATAAAAAATTTTTTAAAAGGGAAATACTTAATCCTATAGGGTTTTAAGCTATGCAATTAGAAAATACACGTAGGACTATAAACAGTCACTCTCTCAGTTACTGAAATGAGAAAACTATTATATATTTTTTAAAAAACTGAAAAAGTGAAATCCAGTACAATAAATCTGCCTACCATAGTCTAAAAGATAACGATTTTGGAATATTTCTTTCTAAAAAAATGAATTAAGGGGCCAGCAGGTGGCATGGTGGTTAAGGGCACTGGACTCCCACATGGCCAACTGCAGTTTGAGTCCCAGGCCTGGAGTCTTGCTTTCTCACTTTCTCTTTCTCTCTCTCTTTCTCTCTCTCGCTCTCTCTCCATTCTTCTCTGGTCAAATTAAAATAAATAAAGGTAAATAAAATAACTCTTAAACAAAATGAATAGCTATTGTATACCTAATAACTTAAGCCAAGCTAAATAGGAATCTATTACGACCATAGCTAACAGCATGACTTCCTGCTTTTGTGAGTATTTCCTGCAGTAACACATCAGTAGCATCTCCCATATCAGGGCATCGAATGCTAGGAAAGCAGAGGTCGGCTTGGCATGACGCCCCATCAGTGGAGACAAATTTAATTCAGTAGACAACTGGGTGCCTCTGGAGATTTATGGGCACAACAGAAGAGTGACACGATGAACTTCATGCCTTGGGAAATAGTAGTGGATTAGAGCAGGGAGACACTGTGCGTTCACAGCCACAATAATCCAGGCAGGAGGTTACAGGAGGTTATATGTGGGGAGTCACACATGAAACAAATTAAAAGTGGTTCTCTGGGTGTTGAGCGTTATGAGAAAATTTTCTTTTTTGTTATTTTTTTAATTCCCTCACATTTTTCTGAACATAGTAAATTTTTAGTAATAAATACTTGCTACTTTTATAAAAATAAAAAGATATGGAGCCCTTGAGAACGAAAGTAGGTGGTTAAAATAGGCACTGTATTCCCACATGGCCAACCACAGTAGAAGTCCTAGACCTGGCAGCTTGAAAAATCACAACAAATAAATAGATAAATAAATAAACAAGAGAGAAAGAAAGAAAGTAGAAGACTGTGCAAGAGAAATCTCCAGACTTTACACTGAGGGAGTGAGGGACAACAGAGAAGGAGGCACATCACAGATGACACGAAGAAGAGAAAGTAGAGCTATCATTAGGAGAAAGAGTCGAGTCGGGAGGAGGAGAGGGGGATAGGTGGACGTGGAAATGATTATTTCAGTTAAGATCATGGTAAACCTAAGGTGACAACAAAATGCCCCAGTACCAACACCAGGCGGGAGTTGCAAATAGCGACCTGAAGCCAGAAAGAGCAGTGAGAGCTGAAGAAGAGTGTTGGATGTCATTTCCACATCACTAAGTGTTGGAATGCAGGGGGTTCCTGCACTCACAAAAAGATCACAGAAAAAGAGAAGAGGTGAGCACAGACACTTTGGGATGCTATTTCTAGTGGGGAGAAGGAGTGAGTGGGATATAACAGAGAATGGGAAGAATGCTGTGTCACCAAAGCTAAGAGCATAGTTTCCAGAAAGAGGTGGATGGAAATAATGTTGAATGTTCTGGAGCCAACCTATCTACGGTAGTAGCCACTACCCACATGTGAGACTATTTAAATTCAAATTAATTAACAGTAAAAATTCAATTCCTCAGTCACACTTGCCCTATTTCAAGTGCTCAGTAGATGTTGCTGGCTAGTGGCTACCATATTGAGCAACACAGAATTGAATCTAGTCATCATCACAGAAAACACTGTACAGCACAGATTTAAAGCATGGAGGTGGGACCAGCAGTTAGCATAACGGCTACGCCGCTGGACCACCATGTAGTTGACCGTGGTTCGCGTCCTGGACCCAGTGGCTTAAAAAACTCACGCCAGGCATGTGTTCATGCGTGCCCAAGATCCTGAGAGGAGAATGGAGAAGGGATTGCGGCGTGGCCATCCTCCCCAGGGGGTGATTTCTTGCTTTCTGTCTCTCTGTCTCTGTCTGTCTGGCGAGCGTATGCGCCCTATAGCAAAAACCTCTCCAAAAAAATAAATAAAATAAAATAAAGCACGGAGGCATGGGTGGTCTCAGGTAAGGCTAATGGATTTGGTAATGAGAAGGGTACAGGTGATCTTAAGCAAAGTGCTACTAGAGGAGTATTGGGTACTCATGTGATATTAAAGACCCAAGCTTGCAGGACCAGCAGATGGCGTAATGGTTATGTTGCTGAACTCCCAAGTAGTCAACCATGGTTCAAGTCCTAGACCCAGTGGTGGCTTAAAACTCACACCAGTCGTGTGTGGGTGTGCCCAAAATCCCAAGAGCAGAATGGAAGAGAAGGAATTGCAGTGTGGCCATTCCTGGGGGGTGGGGGGGGGTCTCACCTTCTGTCTCTCTGTCTCTGTCTCTCTGGTGAGCACACATGCCCTATATATAGCAAAA